ACCCAAATTACCTTCAGACCTCAAATACCAAATAGAAACAAAGGAATTCAAACAGTTTTGGATCCTAATTGAGCTAGAAACTTGAATTAAATGCTAAACTCTGAAAATGACTTAAGGAAACTAATGTAGCAGTAGTTTTTTTTTTGGACTTTTCTACTGCTTTTGTGTTTGTTTTTAGATTTTTGGCAGAATCTAAAATCTAAAAGGGGATTAGAACTATAAGAGTTCAGAGTTTGAACTTTTTTTTTTAATTTGAAATTCAAATTCTAAAGCTCAGATCTGCAGAATGATTTTTGGGGGGGAATTTTGGGGCTCCCAAAAAAAAACTCCCCAATGAAGGTATTTGTGATGCCTTTTATAGGCCTAGCAGAGAGTAGCCTCCCCATTTCAGTTTACCATTCATTCCCTCTTTTATTTCAACTTTGGTCCTTTAATCCTTGACTTGTTACCCAAGTTATACCCTTGTTTTACTGAAAAGTACCTGCATACCCACATCTAGAAGCTTCTAGGAAATTTTAGCTAAATTCCATACCCCTGAATTACCCCAATTGCCCTTAGTTTCAACTCAAAATTACACTCATAACCAAACTACTTTCTAAACTATGAATTGAGCTACAGCTGACAAATGAAATCCTATTTTACCACTGTCTAATTATCGATGAAATAGGATTAACAATCAGAACTAAGTAAACACCATTAAACTTATACCAATCTAACTAATAAGCAGACAGAAAATCTAATGCACATAGAACGATTATCAATATAAGCCTTCTAACTACAACAATACGATCACTAACAAAACCACAAAACAACAAAAATTAAACTGAAATAAAAAGCTAACCTACAAAGGCATCAATTAATCAGGACAAACGTATTAATCAAAAGAAGGAAAAATCTATTGAATTAAGATGAACGACTAAGCTTAAAAACTTAAAATCAAGTAATGAAACAAGAACAAACAAAAAAAATAAGGATGAAGAAGAAAAGACTCACTAGCCAATTTGGAATCAATATTCGACTGACTTCAGTAAAGTTCGAGGACCAATGTCATTGAATTCACCATGCAGGAAGCACGGAGACTCGGGTGTGTTAATTTGAAGCTGATGGAATGAATTGGAGTTTTTTTTTTGAGTTTGGATTCGAAATTCGAAGGATTCGGTCATGATTTGATGCAGACTATTTACAAATTGGTGACGAGGAGACTGAGGCGATGCAAGGGTGTAATTTTGGAAGCCATTGGGTTCGAGATGAGATAATGGCAGATTCGTGACGGGGACATTAAGGCGGTTTAGGGGTGTGAATTTGAGAGTCACTGGAGACAGTGACGTTTTCTCCGGCGACGGCGTTGGTGGCATTACAAGGATGAGTACGAGGAAGAAGCAGATGTCTCTAGGGTTAGAATTAGATTCGGACAGTTTTATTAATTTGTCAAGAGTGAACACGGTCCGTTGGATTAAGCAGGATGAAGGGCCGGGATTGATTGACGCCGAAACGGCGTCGTTTGGTCATTTAAAAAGGCAGGCCGGGTTTAGGGCACTAGGCTGGGTCGGTTTGGGTATGGATTTTAAAGGTTATTTTGTTTGCTCTTACCCATTTGGCCCAAATACAGGTCTCTTAAAACCAACCCTCTTCTATTTATTTTCTTTTTCAATTGTTTCTTTTATTTCTTTTCCTTTGTTTTTGCATTTTGTATTTTTGTATTATTTTTTCTAATTTTATAAAGATGCAAAAATTAAAACAAAGACCTAATATAATTCAAAGTTGAACTAATTACCTCCTAAAATTGTTTTAAAACTATTCCATGATGAATTCACAATTAAAATGCAAAAGTGAACTATTTTTGTTATTTTCTTCACGTTTTGTTCTAAAACAAATTAATCCCTAATTAATTCTAAAATATGAAATTAGATCCTAAATGCAGATGTATATTTTTTGTATTTTTCATATGAATAAAAATGCACAGATAAAATGCAACAATTACCAAAAAATAACACCAAAATTCACAAAAGTTGTGAAATAATAAAGAAATCATTTTGTTTGGAATTTTTGGGAATAATTCATATATAGGGCAAAAATCACGTGCTCACAGCGATCGCGTAGGCTTTGTGGGGCAGAGATGGAATTTGTTCAGTGCGATCGCGAAGGTCAGAATGCGATCGCATTTGATTGAGAGATTATGGTTCGCAAATGCGTGGTCAATGTCGCGTTCGCGTAGGAGAGAATGAGCTGGTGTGAGGTGGTGAGGTTGTTCTATGCGATCGCGTGAGTTAGACCATGATCGCGTAAGTTAGCAGAGGCAGAGCTTCGCGATCGCGTGGAGTTTACTGCGATCGCATAAGGCTAGACGATGTCAGTAAGCTTTTATGCTTCGCGATCGCGAGGCATTTTCTGTAATCGCGATTAAGGAATTTTAAATCGCTAGGCAGAATGTTTAAAAGGCCATTTTCGCAATTTGTGGCCATAGTTTACCATTTTGAGTCGGTTTTGGACCTTCTTGGGGGAGATTAAAGGGGTAATTCAAGGGCACTTCTTTGAGGTAAGATCAATGAACCTAAAACTTGATCCTATGTAGATTCTTACTTGTTTAAACATGAAATTAGTGGGATTTGACGCCTAGAATTTGGGGAGTTAGGACTTGAAATTGGTGACTTTGATTTGAGGATTTGAGGGGTCATTTGTGGTCGGATTTTGATGTATTTGGTATGTATGAACTCGTGAGAGAGTAAAGATTCTAGATTTGTAATTTTTATCGAAAACCGAGACGTGGGCCCGAGGGTCAAGTTTGGGCCAATTTTGGGATTTTTTATGTAAATTGATTATTTTCGCATGGGCTTCGTTCCCTTAGCTTATATTGATATTGTAATTCTGATTTTGGATAGATTCGATGCGAGTTGAGACCGAGTCGAGAGGCAAGGGCATCGCGGAGTAGTATTTTATCCGGTTTGAGGTAAGTAACTATTGTAAATCTGGACCTGAGGGTATGAAACTCTGGTATTTCGTATTGATTTGATAAATAATGTGACACACATGCTAGATGACGATAGTGTAGGCGTGCACCGGTAGGGATTGTGAATTGGTCCATCCCGTAGCGACTATTAAGCCGCGTATTTGATTTGAAATTTTATGATATCCCGTATATTAGAGATTGATACTATATTTTGGGTTGTACCCCATGTTTGGGGCCTTGTGCCGACCTGTTTAGACCCTTAGGGGTATTTTTACTACTTTCCTCACTCTATTTATTTTAAAAGCATATCCTCAGTCATGTTTTACCTGTTTATTGTTTAATCCGATTTCATCACTCTATTTCTTAATATATGAAAACTGTTTGGGCTGAGTTCCCTGATTTTCACTGATATGCCCAAGTGGCCGTGAGATTAATGACTGAGAGAGGTTGAGGACCTAATGGTGAGAATTATATATACATTATGGATGGGGTTGCACGCCATATATATATATATATAAAAACTATGGATCAGGTTGCACGACGCAGCGACACTTATATGGATCGGGCTGCACGCCACAACGATATATGTTGGATCGGACTGTGCACCGCAATGATATGACGCTTGGGCTGTAGGAGCCCCTCCGGAGTTTATACACCCCCAGTGGGCGTAGTCGACCATAAACTATGGATCGGGCTACACGCCACAACGGTTATTACTATTATTATTATTATGAGATATCTATTAAGCCGGAGAGCTAAGTGTGAGTACTGATTGACGAGATCTGAGTCACGAGTGACTGAGAGGTTTGCCCGAGAGGCTATACTAACGAGTGATACCTTGCTCGAGGGGCCCGTTTATGACATTTTGCTGCTTTTACTCTTCTTTTTATACTGAGCCTCTGTTAAAAAAATGTTGAATAAATGATTTCAAAAGTATTTTAATTGAAACTGAAGTTTTACGAGATAACTAACTATGGCACTGCTGGTTTGACTTGATATTTCTGTTGAAAACTCTTATATGGTTTTAAATTGTCGTCACTGCACTCAGACCTTATTTACTTTAGTTACTTACTGAGTTGGCATACTCATGTTACTCCCTGCACCTTGTGTGCAGATCCAGGTGCCCGAGTATCATAGTAAGAGCTTCCAGCTCTCTCAGAATTTCACCGGGATCGCAAGGTAGATGCACGGCATTCGCAGCCCCGCCTTCCTCCTTCCTATTTTTGTATTTTGTTATTTCGGACTTATTTTGTATTATTCAGACAGTGTCTTGGTTGTATTTAGAGGCTCATAACTAGTGACACCAGATTCGGGCTGTGTTGGTATATTTTGTACTGATTCCTGCATATTTTTGTTGATTTAGATATTTCATGTGAGAATTTGAGACTTAATCAGTTTTAGAAAATGGTTGTATTAAAAGAATTCATTGTGGTTAATGTTGGGTTGGCTTGCCTAGTACTGTTATAGGCGTCATCACGATCGGGGTATTGGGGTCTTGACAAGTAGGGTTGTGCACGGATATGATCAGATCGGATTTAGCACATTTCGGATTTCGGATTTCGAATTCTAGAAAATGCAATCCGAATCCGATCTGAATTATAACGGATCGGATCAGATTTTAAAGTTTGGATCGGATCGGATTTCGGATCATATTATTATGACTCAAAGTTACAAACTAATATGTATATTTTCTTCGTAAAAGAGATAATACATTAAGAAAAATTCATGTTTATGCAATTATGAGAGTACTATGGTGCCAATATAGCTAAATCCAACAATTGTAAAGGTAATAGCTTGGAGGAAGATGTAAAGGAAGTACTGACTATCCGAAATTAAAGTGTTAGTATTTATACTTGCCCTAATAATTTCGGATTGGATTGGATTAAATTATACCAATCCGAATCTGATTTGAAATCCAAAATTTTAATAAATACAATTCGAAATCCGATCTAATCCGAAATCCGAAATTGAATGGATCGGTCCGGATTTCGGATATCCGATCCGGACCGATCCAAATGAACAACCCTAAACTAAAGAAGACTTGAACAATTGCTAAAAGCCAAAAATAAACTTTATTGCTTTGATTTGCATGCCAGTAATAGTGTCGAAAAATGAAAGAGTTCTCGTCTTTATATAATAGAAGAGTTTTAACCCTAATACAAGTCTAAATAAGGTAAAAATCCTCTATTTACTTTTCTCTCACGAAAACACGATCTACAGCCAAATTGAGCGTGATCCGCGCTGTAATATCCGATTGATGGCGGATATTTCGACTCTCTGTTTGTCTTCTTTAACCGTCTTTTCCTTTATGATCATAAATAAACATTCCCAAGCTCTTTCTTTATGATCATATATTTAAGGGCATGATTAAACCATCCCATAGTTGGTGTTATTTATTACTTCCATGAGCACATATGAAAATTGCAAGAACTTTAGCATATGGATATGAACTAGTAGTGTAGAAAGTGATCATTATGGCTAAAAGGCCTCTTTAGCCATAATTAAAAAGAAGGAAAAAACTCAATAGTAGGAATATCACTGCCCAAAAATGACATCAAGACCTAGACTTTTCAGCTAGCAAAATAATTATTACTATACCCAAATTGCATTAGCCCTAATGAGCAATTGCTTGAGCTTGCCTCTAATGTTGAGACTCATGACCTCATTAGAACCACCAACCAATTCATTTCCAATGAAAACAGCAGGAAAACTTGGTTGACACCCTAATTCAATCAATGCCCTCTCCAATTCCTTCCCATTCTGAAGTCTATCAAGCTCATAAATTGTAGGATTTGCTCCGAAATTTCGGATTAATGTTTCGATAGTGTGAGACATGCAACAAGTACTTCTGCTAAAAATCACAACTGGACTTTGTGCTCCCAACTTCATCACCATATCCATAATGTTTATATCTTTCTTGTGTTGAAAGAAGAATTTGTGAAGGTTACTAGAAAAGAAAAGCTTTGTGTATTGAGTTTCTTGATTTGATATGGTAATTTGAATTGGAGGTAACTATAGTATATATAAGGCTTAAAGTGGTAAGATAGAAAAGGATGACAATTTTCCCAAAAGGGCGCAAGTGGGTGAATAATATCCAAGGTATTAATTTTTTTCGATCACTTGTATGATAAATGCAGCTGATCACATTCTACCATCTTGATAATGAAAAGAGAATATAACTACCTTTTAAATATTCCCCTAACAATCTTGAGCACTTTATATATGTGATGTAACGTGGATGAAATGAATAAGGTTCCTGTATTCCAACAAGTTACAATATAACGTGGAAAAAGAAAGTTATCAAGCTGGAGTGATCTTTTCCCATACAACTAAAGATATCAGAATTTTACTTTTGATTTGAGAAAAAACGAAATCTTTTTTCAGAATATATGCTTATAGATGTACTACTGAAATCAAGTCCATATTACTATCCGTACCGAAAAGGAGGAGGTAGTACTAATAATACAACAGAGAAATTTGGAGGCTTATCCTCCTAGTTTTGGTTGATACATGACTAACTTGGTTCAAATTCCTTTTTTGGAATAAAGTAGATCACTTGATAAGAAAGGGAATGTAGTACTCTGCCATATTTGTCATCACGTGATCTATATATATTCTCTTCTAGAAAAAATCTCCCTTGCTACCTCGAAAGGTCACATATCATCATACTGTTCTATTTTTCCCCGTAAAGATATTGTTCCTTCTGTTTTATTTCATGCGAAAGTGTTTGACTGGACATTGAATTTGAATAAAAAATTTTAAACTTAGGGGTCGTTTGGTATACGGACAAAATTGTATCGGGATTATAGTCTCAGGATTATAATTCCGGCACTAATTTATACCACATAAAAGATGGAATAATATATATACCCACAATTAATGATATAAAGTGGAATAAGATGGGATAAATGGGATGAGATTTGAGATTATGTTTAAACCTTATTTGGTTAGAGGTACAAATTTTTATACCTCCAATCAAACAAGGTACAAATTTAATCCCAACTCTTATCCCACCTAATACATCATAACAAACGACCACTTAGGGTTTTAGATGTATAATGGCATTTATGTCACTATAATATCATGTCATTAAAGGGTCATTTGGTTGTATAACGAGATATCCAGAGATTAATTAACAATTCAAGGATTATAATTTGGGGTTGTTAATCCGACATCCATATGGAATAGTTAATATATAACTATTTTGGTATACAACTAGTACCGGTATATATTAACTAATAATATCCATAACAAAATATAGGATAAATACAATCCCAAATTTAATTCCGGGATTATAATTTTAATCTTGACAAATAATCAAACTACCCTTAAGGGTATAACAGAAAGTTTAAAATTGAATTATTTCTAAATATTAAAAAAAAATATTCTTTTTGAGAGACCAAAGAGGAAAGTGTGCTATATAAAATAGAATAAAGGGAGTAGAATGTAACGACTAATTCAGGCAATTAGCTGTTAAAACATTTCGAAACGACAGTGCAGACATGTCTTTTTCCAGTTTGATTACGGCGTATTTGACAAGGATAAATTAACGCATTGGATGAGATGGATGCAGTCACATTCATCTCATTGTATTTTATATCATTTTAAGATTTATCCAAGTTGAATTTGCTTCAAATACGAAAATACCAGTTAAGTTTCTTAAAATTGATTTGTTATAAATGCTAAATATTAAAGACTGCCTATGATATCTAGGTACTCTCTCCGATCTACAATAAATGACCAATTTGTTTTTTTTATTTTGGTCCAAAATAAGTGTTCATTTATATAATTAAGAAAATATTCAATTTGTTTTTCCAATTAAATAGTTTCTTTTACTCCAAGTTGAATTTGCTTCAAATATTTAATTAAGGGTAGTTTAGTCGCACTAACTATTTTTGTTTAGATTTTAGTATTTTCTTAATTGGTGTGCCCAAAGCAAATTGGTCAATTATTGTGGACCTGTAATACCCTATATTTTTTTAAAATAAGGGTNAGAAGAAGAAGAAGAAGAAGAAGAAGAAGAAGAAGAAGAAGAAGAAGAAGAAGAAGAAAAAGCAAATAATGAAACAAAATAAACAAAACAAAAAGGAGATAGAATACAAGTGGGCTTAGCCCATGTCATGACAAAAAAAAAGAGAAATTTTTATAAAGCACTATCTTTTAGTAGTAATTAGCCAGTTATAGATACTATTTGCTATATTACGGATTATAGATACCTTTTATGTGGTTATAAGATGTATTTGATGTATTTAAGCTATTTTATTCATGAATACAGTAGCAAAAATAGGTGTGAATCGGGGAAGTCCAGCTAATCAGTTGTTGTATTCGAGTGTATTCGACTGTATTCATGAAGTGAAACATGGGATTACAGCTGGACAGATTATTGTATTCGACTGTATTCACGGCGTGAAATAGGGGATTAAACTATTTTTAAAATGGAAAGTGAATCAATTAACATAATAGACTCCTAATATAACTCAAGAAACTCAATTATAACACACAAATTTTGTATTTTCAGTTATAAAAAAGATTCTCAACCGAAAAATACCCCAAAAACATAGCAATCTTCAGAGAAATTATATAATACATCTGAATACATAAATTATATTAATTAAAAAAACATATGAATACATTCATGGCATATAGAGAGATAGTGAATACAATGAAATACATGGAATACAACGAGATACATTGAATTACAATAAAAAAAGACAATGAAATACATGAAAATACAGCGTGATACGTTGAAAATACATTAAAATATATTAACAGAAAATCAAGTTGCTCAGCCCCAAAATCCGTCGTCTTTGTTCAAGAACAAACCCTAATTTTCAGCTACTCCTATTGCAGCAGATACAACAACAACGTCAGATGTATTTGTCACCTACTCCGAATCTCAATATCAAATATGGGTTTCGGAGTTCTCTCGCTATAGCCGCTATTGTTTCTCAAAATTGTGTTTCAATGGCGGTAGCGAGTGGCTTAGCGACCTCTTTTGTAGGTGACAGCTTTCATTGTGATAGTTTAAGTTCTACGTCTTGTTCTTCGTCTTTTTCTCCTTCTGTGGGTTGTTTTCGGCGTTAAGTCAGATTATTCGGAACGGTCGGAGAATTAAGCCGGTGGGTTATTCGATGAAATCGCATTCTTTGAGCCCAAGATGTGAGGTTGCTTCGAACTCGGTGGTTAATAATGGTGAAAAGGAATCTAACCACAGAGATAAAGAAAATAGTATAACTGAATAGCGTATTTAGTGGCTTAGGGGTAGGAGGTATACCAAAATTAGATATTTTGTTATAAATAATAAAAGGTATCTATAGAATATAATTTTTTAAATGGTATTTATTTAAAATAAATAAGGTGTTAACCTTTGCTATAGGATGTAAAAATTCCAAAAAGAAAAAGAAAAAAAAGAAGAATAAGGATTTTAAAAGGGCGCGAAGCCATTCTCTGGAAAACCTTAGAAAAATATAAAGGGGGAAAGCAGCAAGCTGCGCAAAAAAAAAAAAAAAAAAAAAAAAAAAAAAAGAACAGGAGCAGCGGGTTTCAGAGAAAAAAAAAAGGGGGAGGGGAAAGAAAAGAAGAAGAAGAAAGCTTTGGGCAAAGGCCTTAAGAAGAATTGGGAATTGAAATTAAAAGTATTCGACTCAAGAGGTTAACCTTCTTCTTCTCATCTGTTGAATTATTTCACTATATTTATGCAATTCATGTGGTACAACGGAATTCAATATCAACTTTCTTTTATATAAAAAGAAATATACAATTACTATGGAGATAACAAGGCTATAAGGGTTTGGTTTAAGCAATGATAGGTCTACTTCTAGAGGAATAAATTATATTAAATAGTTTGAAATTTATAGAATTATGGACTAGTTCTATGATTAAATGTAAATACCTTTTTATTTACAAGATTTTTGGGCTAATTTAAATTACTCATAGTATGGGTAAATATAAATCCACAAATTAAAATTCAAACATGAACCCCGATGATTGGATTTTCTAAAATAGCTATGAATTAGCCTAACTAAGAAAATTAACATGGGATCAATATTATGTAATTATAGATTGATTGGAGGAATTTGTACGAATTGCTCGAGGTGAAGCATTTGGTATTTCGGCACAAGTACTGTGAGTAGTAATCTTACCGCAATTTGTGTTTTCATAACTTGCATGATTTACACATGATTCTTAATATGAATATGTTACTGATTATTTTAAGTTGCACGTGGGACAAGTCTTTTACTCGATATGATATCGAAATAGTTATTTGAGAAGATTACCGTTATTTTAAATATTTTCATTGTCACTAGATCTGTTTTACTGTTACTTGAATTTACTGTTATCGAAAAGAAATTATATGATTTGATAAGAACCTAAATGTCTTATATTGTTTTAAAATATTTTCGATGAGTATATACGGATTACATAGACAAGTATAAATAGGAGTAAACATTGAAGGATCCCGTAGCTAACGGCGGGTTCGTTAGATCTGGTGCACCTTGTAATTACAGATTACCATTATATCCCTCGCTAGTGGGAAGGTAGAACTAGCATACCGTTATCGATTTCCCTCGAGTAGGGACTACCGTTTTATTTGACTTCTTGCGAAGAAGTCCATAGTTATACCGATTACATGATTCGTTCATTGAAACCTCCCAAATATGAATATTGATATTAGACAGTGGTTACCGAGTTTATTACCGAACTATTAATTGTATTATACTACAAGAAAAGCATGACGAGACTGAAAATTATTTATTATTTCTGAAAGGGCATTTTTATGTTATTTTTTGTTTGATATACTAGCATGTTTTCTGACTTGTGCCCAATAAAAATGGTTGTGGTTAAGTGTTATTACTCACTGAGCTAGCGACTCATTTCCCGCTAATTTTTTTTACAGAGACAGCAGTTGACGTAGGCGAGGATTTTGTTAATTAGAGCGCACAAGTTGATATTTCTCGGTGAGCCTCGCACTTGTTCGCGTGGGCAGAGATTTTATTTATTGTTATGGTCTTTTCATTGAACTCTTAGAGTCGCTCCATATTCATTATTTTAG